TCAGTCGAGCACCCCCAGACCAACGGGCAAGCCGAGGCCGCGAACAGGGTCATCTTGCGAGGACTCAAGTGCTGATTAGGCGAGGTGAAAAGGGGATGGGTCGAAGAACTACATAGCGTTCTATGGGCTTACCTCACGACGCCCCATTTGATGACTGGTGAGACCCCATTCCGACTAACCTACAGCACCGAGGCAGTCATCCCAGTAGAAATCATGGAGCCATCTAGGAGAACTGAAACGCCCCTCGACGAGGAGATAAACGACGAGGCCCTGAGAGACGAGCTCGACCTTGTCGAAGAAATCCGGTTAGGAGAAGCCCTGCGCGAGGCCACTCTGAAACAACAAATATCCCTACGCCACGACAGCAAGGTCATAAGACGCGAATTTTAGGTCGGTAGTCTAGTCTTGCAAAGAAACCAGAAGGATTCCCGCGAAGGAAAGCTGGCCACAAACTGGGACTGCCTCGACCCTGGAACGCTGCAAAGCTGAAACAATATTACAGCTAAACTCCCTCAACTACTGAGGACTTTCGCTGTCGAATATTCACCTTTAGACGATAAAGGGAAAATCTCGACCACATAGGCGTGTCGGGGTACAGACGAAGCCTACCAATCAACGAAAGCATAATGTTGCTCACATTGACGAGCGACATCCTTGCCCGACAGGGACACCTCGACCGAGCTCCATTGTCGAAGTACCCTAACATGGCAGAACACCCAGATCGCGATGGGCAGTTTACGCCACGAGCGTAGGATCCTGATCGCGATCATACGCCCGTCCCGCGGAACACTACTCTGCGCCCTCGACACATTTCAAAGTGTGTCAAATTGATGTAAGGGTCGAACAGATATCTCCGCACGAAACACGAAATTCGTGAAAAATTCATAACGACCACAATAATGGTCGGGCACGAACACCCGAAAGTTACCAATTATTCAAATAGTTAATAGACAACGCAATTATAATATGCCGACTATAAAGGCCGACGGCGTTCAAATTTACAATTTAGGCACGACGACCTCAAAATTAAAAGAATGATAGCGGGCGCGCAGGCCCCAAAACAACAACGGACACGCATGCCCTGAACTGAATACATTCAAACTTCATCCTCCTCGTCGCTGTCGTCCGGGGGATAAAGGATCTTCCCATCAACAACTTGGTTGAATGGCCCCTCACCCTCAACCACTAACTCGACCCCAGGATTCAAGATCTTTAATTGCTCGACGACGATGTTAAAGCCGTAACCAAGGGTATCAACCACGTCCTCCTCGAGCAAGCAGATGCGAGCAATCAAATCCTCCCTGGTCGCCATGTTCTTCTCCTTCTCGATCTCATCCTTGGTCGGCGCGGTCATCCTTCTATCTCTAAATTCCAAGCAACCAGACGGTCGTTCTCTCTAGTGTTTGCCTCCAGCTGAGGCCTCAACTCGTTTAAATCCTTGAGAAGCTGAACTTGGGCCTCGAACCTTGACTCATGGTTGAGGATATCACCCTTCAACTTCTCATTCTTGACCTTCAACTTGTGGATTTTGGCGTAGGCCGTGTCGAGGGAGGCTTGAGCACTCGAGGACTTATCGTTGAGCGAAAGAGCCGTCTCGAGCACCCTCATCACAGCAGCCATGTCCTTGGCCAAGTGCTTCCGACGAATCTCCTTGTCTTTAGTCAAACTGGCCTCCCTCTCCTCCCCGCGTACACCGAGGGAGTCCTCCTCACTGAAGAGGTAGCGGTTTAGATAGCAAGGAGGCAATACGAAAACCCCCACGGACGTTTTGTCACCCTCGGATGTCACGCCTGCAGCGTTATCTACATATTTCCTTTTAGCCATGGGCTCGTTGACCGGAATCTGGGCCAGATTAGTAGAAGCTGGGTTTTTTGAGAAGGAAGGGGAACCACTGGTCCGACCGGAAGACTTGGCCTGTTCCTGAAGCTGGGAGACTCTGCTTCGTGGTCCAGAAGTGGATGAATTTTTGGGCCTCAATTTCAACAAACGCTCGGAAAGAGATGCCATTCGACCTGCAATCAAAGAGAATCGTTAGTCGAGTTGGAAAAATAAAAAATAGAGCGGACACGTCCCCGCGTAAAAAGGAGCAAAGTAACGGCTACGCCTTACCCAAGAGCCTCATGGCTTCCCCATTCGAGTAACACTCGAGCAAGGCCTTAGTATTGATCAACCTATTGACTAAGAGATACTCTCCCTCCTCGTCAAACAACAGGTTGTCGTTCACGTCGATGCACTTTGCGGGGGAGAAACCTTTAACATAAGTCGACAGCTTCTCGTACGAAAGCTGGTCTTGGGCATCCAAATCCTCGGGTTTCATGGCATAGTATTCGGGCCTTTGCTCATAATGCCTCCACTTCCATTCGAGCAGGAATCTGGCCGTAAGTCGGGTAACTGGCCTCCCCTCCTCCATCTCTTCCACACGGGTATAGAGAGAATCTATGGCCGCGTCCGTCAGGAGCTTCACGACGAAGTACCTCTCTTTAAAATTCCAGACGGACTTCAGATAAGGCCGGAAGAGTTTTCTGAACTGCTTGAATGTCACCCACGCCTGCCTCCCTCTGATAGATTGTCTTTGTAGGTGAAAGATGTGGAAGAAAAGGGGCAGCGTGGTGCATATCCCCAGGTATTAGCAGACGAGCTCAAACGCCCGCATAAACGCCAGCGCGTTTGGATGAAGTTGGGAAGGCGCCAACTGAAGCCATTGGAAAACCCCGACCTGGAAATCGTTGAAGGGCAGACGTATCCCTGCCTCTTTGAAAGCAAATTCGTACATGGGGAACCGTTTTCCCGGATACATCGAGCATATCCTTCGGTCTCAATGGGGAATTTGAAGCATCCAGTTGGTTGGGGGCCCTTCTGCGTGTTCCTCCAGACAGTTGAACGCGTCCGTCGCGTCCTGTGAAAAGAACGACCGTTTATCCCGAGGCTCCGGAGCAACCCAAGCCAAAGGGTCCTCCTCGCTACGGGGTTCGTCTTCGTAATAGGCGGCTGGAATATCTTCCCCGATTGAACGTGCCATTGTACCTGAAAAGCAGGGGAAGTTAGTGAATTCGACATTATCAAATCCACCCTTCCACCGCAGATAAAGTGAAAGGGCGACGAACTCGACCCAAGCCCTCGACATGCTAAAGCGGACCATTACATTCCAAGGACATGTAGCCGGGGGATCACCCGCCGATTAAAAATCTGGGATGCACACTAGCCTAAGGAGTCCTCCCCGACGCTATAACATAAATGTTCATAAGCGCTCGACACGGAACCCGTGAACTCAAACGAACATTCATGAGTATTCATCATGAAACTCATGAATGTTCATCCAATCACGACAAATTTTTGACATTTAATCTAGAAACGCTCAAGAAACATGGTGTTAAGAGGTTATAACTTACTTGGATGAAGAACTTGGAGGGAGAAACTGAGATGTTGAGAGGACCGCTTCACGCCACGAGCAAAGAAAAGAGTGAGAGGAAACTTGAGAAGGTAACAAATGAGACCCAAGGGCCCCCCCTTTTTATAGGCGACCCACGCCCCAAGGGATCCCTCATGAAGGGTCATCACCTCATTGGCCCCTTTTGCTTTTTCCTTGAGGGGGTGGAATCCCAAAGCACTAGCCACGTGGCTCAACTATCAAACGTGTGAGGCAAACACTTACACGAGGAAGTGCTCGCCGCTTGAGTGCACGAAGGGGGTACATCTATTTAACCATCTCGGGGACGAGGAAGTGCTCGACAATCTAACAACTCCCAGGAGACGGGCATAACAAAGGGGATCTCGCAGAGGCTCCTCGCCACCAATACGTCTTCTCGAGCAAGCGGTTGACCCCTTCGGTCCAGATCCCCGTTGGCCCATCGCCACCAATACGTCCTCTCGAGCAAGCATTGGCCCCCCGCGAGAAATGACTCACTCCCTTCGGGGACTTTGACCCTCTACCTCGACCAAGTCTTCAGTAGCGAGAGCTGAACTCAAGTCACAACCCTCTAGCTCGAGGACAATAACTTGGGGGGCTCCTGATCTGGATTGGGCCTACACTTGCCCTACGAACGAGAAGCCCAAAGATGGCCCAAGTTAGGGACCGTGGGGCAACTCCTCATCCAACCGTTGGAGGACGTGGCCCACGACCTCCTGACAGACATCCCAAACTGCCCTCCGGGAATCTTGGGTCCAGCCTTATTCTCGCGGAGCAGTTGACCAGGGGAGAGTCCATTTGCTGGACTCCATACACGCGTAAACCCTGGCAGTTCCTGTTATTGGGCCTCCGCGTGGCCCAAAAGTGGGAACCTTGGCCCAGCGCTCAGGGCTATAAATATCCTCTCTCACGAGAGGGTCAAATATTCATTCATACATCTCAAACTCATACTTGCTTGCTCATTCCGCTTCTCACTTTACCATCGGTGTCTTGCAGGTACCCCCATCTCATTCAAGTTCAACCCGAAGCCAGCTGTGACGGTCCATTTCTAATCCGGTAAGATCAATTATTATTATTATTAATATTATTATTATTATTATTATTATTATTATTATTATTATTATTATTATTGTTATTATTATTATTGTTATTATTATTATTATTATTATTATTATTATTATTATTATTATTATTATTATTGTTATTATTATTGTTATTATTATTATTGTCATTATTATTATTATTATTATTATTATTATTATTATTATTATTATTATTATTATTAATGATATTATATCAATTTTAATAATATTTTTAATTTTAAAAAATTTGTGAGATTACCACGTCTACTTCTAGTTAGGATTTTATTTAAAATTGTTATCAAGATGATGCATGGTTTAGAGAATGACAATCTTAAATTGATGTATACTAGATTATATGATTATAAATAGAGAGATTGAATCAACCTTGTCATCTTATTATTGGTATGACAATTACACTCGTTTAGATTTTACAAAAAATGTAAACTTAATTTTATTTTTGGATATTAAACTGCCAGATACAACCGATCCAGGAGTAAACACAATTTAGCAGCATGGCCTTCTGTAACTCCTCCTTCATCATCATCCATTGGTTAATGTTCTGTGAGATGGAATTTTCAGTAACGAACATCAATGGTATGCCCTCATGTGGCAGGTGTTGCAGCCTTATTAAATCACCTCATCCAAATTGGACCACTGCTGCCATTAGGTCTGCTCTCATGATCCAGGTGACCCAAAAAACAAAAGCACATGCAAATAGGAAAAATGTTAGGCGTGAGACCCCACACACAAATATAATACTATAGTTTTATGATTTTGGTGTGTTCTTTTGCTAACAGCAAGTACACAACAATGGACAATATAATTGCTGGTTGATCATCAAGGTAGCTGATCCCTTTGACATATGTGCTGGCCACATAAACCCTTTAAGAGCACTTGATCCAGGACCAATCTATGTCATAAAACAATTGATCATTTTCCTATGCAAACTAGGCTTTCAATCACTTACCTATCAATCACACTCTCAAATATTGATTATGTTTTGACCATAAAAAATACAGTTAGTTAGGGATGACAAATAGAGATAAAGACATAGTACTATAATATCCATCTCCACACCTGCTGTTTCAAAAACTTCTCGTTTCTAAACTCACACCTCGTAGACACAAATCTTTGTACCTGTATTTGTAATTTAAGACTTACACCATTGGATTTAGTTGTCATCCCTACCATTAGCTAAACAAAAATGTGAAATTTTGTTAGCATTTTTTAACCATGTGGAGTGAAAATAGTGGTATGCCTCAAGGTGTTAATATTCACATGGTTGAAACAATCCAGATGGAATTCATCATGTTATGAGTCTTTGGCTGTACGTGTTAATACTTCTTCTGTTTCCAATCACTACTCATACTAGTACAAGTTTCATGCAGCATGCACTCTTTTTTATCTAAGCTTCAGCATCTAACTTTCCAAGACTTGTTTTTTTTTCCTTGATCAAGAATTTAATAAGAGAACAATTCAAAAATGACAAGAAAATTAAACTTTAGAAGTAGAGAATTTGAAAGCAAGGCTTAAGAAATAAGCATATTTTACCAATAAAGTACAAACTCATGAAATAAACAACCAACGACAAATATATACACAAACCACGTTGGTTGGTATAAGTTGGCAACAGGTGCATGAAATTTAGCGAAAACAAAGTGATGTAAAAAATCATAACCGATAATGTCAACATTGTATCTTTTAATCGGTAGTTTTCTCTGTACAAAAGCAAAATGCAGCACATGAAATGTACAACAGATCTGCGTGAATATTCAGTTTCTTTCTGGTTGAGTATTGTTTCCATTTGCATTTGAACTAGAAGACGACGATGATGATGAAAATAATCCGTTGAAAGGCCATGGGAATGAGAATCTTCTACCCCCGCTTGGACTTCTCCCTTCACTATCTCCTTCAGCATTGGCATGTCCAATATTATCATTCTCCCTTTGATTTCTGTTATTCCTTGACACATTAGAGTTTTGCTTAGGTTCATCCACTCGCAATTGAGATCTACAAACCGGACAAGAACTATGAAGCTCCAACCAGGGAAGGATACAAGCAGTATGAAAGCTATGTTTACATGGCATCTCTTTAGCATCGGAACCAACTTCAAAATCATCCAAACAGACAGAACACTGCATATTCTCATTGATTTTTACAGTTGGTAAAGCTTCAACGGCTTCCTTTGGTGCAGGTGGAGTTCCATACCTATTAGGGTCATTATCAGACAAATGTTGCAACAATAGATCCAAACCAGGCCCTACGAAATAGTCACCCAAAGATCCTATGGGGTTATGATTATCACTTTGATCCCGGTTTGAGTCATAAGAACCTTGAACGATAATAGTCTGATTAAAAGGGTTAATCAAGATTACATGCTCTCTTTCTCTTTCCCTAACACGATCCTCCCTATCAGTATTCTCATGTGACTCAGATGTCAGTCCAGCTCTTATGCCTTGGAGCAATTGTTGAATAGTAGCAGAACTTCTTCTCCTCCTTCGAAGGATAGACTCAAGCTCTCGATCATAATGTCCTACACCACCATTACCCCTATCATCATCGTGATTCCCACTATCATAGTCCTCTTCAAGTTCCATTCGTCTCAATCTTCGACGAAGCCGCGGATTGCCCATCATGCCTAGCAAGATTGGTGCCCAAAGGGATGGAGAACGATCCGATCCAAAATCATTATCCGGTATATTTTGAAAGTCATTGATACCAGTGGCACTGCTCATTTCTTCAATAAATCCACTCTGGCAAACCGAACATTTCATCTCCATTCCCATGATAGGGCTGACTATTTGAGAACACACGTGACACCAATATCTAGTCGCCATTGTTTCCTCCATGATATTCTCTATAGAATGTATATATCCTCCAAATATAAAAGATGCTTTATTTACTCCTTGATTCCTGAAACATCAAACTTCAAATCAAAATCCAAAATCCCCCATCAGACTTTACACAATTAGGATTATTCATGGTTTGATTTGAAACTACAAGAGAATGATCACTTTTCCCAAATCATGAATTGAAAACTCTAAACATCAAACTAAATCATGCAGTAATTCATCCAGAAAAAAAAAAAATCAAATATCATCATGATTTAATTAGTCTAACAATCAAGGACAATGATTGGTGTAATTTAATTTCATCCATTCCAAAATGACCCGTAGAATTAATTAAAAAACGCCAAAAAAATAAACCTAAAACCCAAGAGATCAAATAATTACGAAGAATATTAAATGAAGAGAGAGATAAAAAAGAATAATCATCACCTTAACAAACGAACAACAACGAATTGCAACAACAATTTACTCAGCGAAGGGTTTACGAAACACAAACACCAAAAAAACACGGATCGGTTTAAAAAAATGAAAAGAAGGATCTGGAAGCGTTGAATTGAAGCGCGTAGCTAAAAAATGAACAGTAGAAGCAAGGAAAGGAAATGATACACGCAAATATAAAGAAAAAGTAAAAAAAAAAAAAGTGGAAATTGTCAATTATATATAGAGAGAAATTGAGAGCGATGAAAAACTACCTAGAAATGAAGATTAAGGAAGAAACGTTATGGAGTTGATGAATTGGTGGTGATGGTGGTGGAGGAATGATTAGGTAGTTTGGTAACGGAAAAAGATGAGAGATGGAATTTGGGGAAAGTGCGACAATTTGCTTCTAACCATCGTCCAATCCCAACCGGTCTTAAACTCATTTCCCCTCTTCTTTTCTTTTCTTTTCTTTTTCGATTCTTACTCGATTATATTTTTCCCTATTAATATTACTTTTACTTTTAGTAATCTCAAATTAACTTACTTTTCATTTTTTGAAGTTACATTTTTTTTTATATTTTAAATAAAAATTTTTTTTTTTAAATATACAAATAATAACGTTTCGGAGAAAATTAATCAGTATTTTAAGAATGAATAAAATGCTTCAGTCATCTCAAATGACACATTCATTCAAACTTTTAAAGGAGACGTCAAATGAGATGGTGTTTAAGGGCATCTGATCTGCCCTAAGCCATCTTAGATGACGCTTAAGTGCAATTTCTTTTTTTTTTTAGAATTTCTTTTGTTAAAAAATAAAAAGTCAATTTCGTTGCAAATGAGACTTCGATTTTTAATAGTAATGAAACAATTACATAATGGCAATACAAATTACATATTATTTAGTTGTCTCCTGGGACTCGATAACGAATCTTGGTTTTGCACCCGCGTCCTTGCTTAACTCATTGTGTGTTTCGACGATTTTCTATTGCGGTTGGGTCGAGGGCCCTGCGAAGTTAATGCGTTCAGGGTCCATGAAATCCGTCAGATCACCATATCCAAAAGACCCTCTTTCAAATAGTCGGTTACTCATGCCCTCAAAGTTTGGTCGTATTGGTGGGGTGGAGTTCCATGGATGGTCGATAGCACTGATCATCTGAATAAGAGGGATAAAAAGGAAATGAATCTTGTAGAGTTTGGTATTGATATGTTTGTTGGGTGTTATGGTGATGTGATAGTTGATGGTATGTTGGGTCGATTGGGGAATATTCTTCAGGTAGTCCCATGTCTGGGCTAAGGTGAAATGATGAGGGACCCACATCGGGATGTCAGATGTATGGTCTTTATTCTTGGTATTGTAATTGTGTGTAAGGCATGTGTGTGTATTGGTATTGATCTTGGATTTAGGGTTGGGTGCTTGTGGATATGTATCGGCATTGTGTTTGGTGGGAAGTTGATGTGTGTTGGGTTTGTTGTTGAGGTTGTTGTTGGGTGGTGTATGATTGTTGCTGGTGTTGTTGGGGATTTGAGGACGATGTCCATCGTGTACGTAGGTCGGTCAAATACCTCAGGTTAACCACAAACATTTCAAGGTTAGTAATTAATCTGTACCAATTGGTATATTAATATGTGTGTCACATAACATGGTTCGCGGGTGTGATCGGTGGGAATGAGAACTGACTGTTTTGGGATGCTGGTTCGCGTTTGCGTTTGTTTTCGCAAAATGTCGCGGTGAGCAAGGGTCGCCACCGTCTTTTATTTTATCCAATAAGGAAAGGACAAAAGCACAGAAAAATTCCTTTTTGAGATATTTCTCGGGTTCGGGAGGTAGATTATAGAAAGGGAAGGTGTTAGCACCCTTTCTATCCGTGGTTATCCACGGGCTCTTAGGTACTTGCTCATTGTGTTTTCAAAAGTTTGCTTTTCTTTGTGTTTGTGGGTTTGAAAAGAGTTTTTGTTTGAAAGGTGTGTAAGTGCAAAAAGTTTTATTTTGTTTTGAGAGAACAAGTACTTAAGAACCATCTACCTACTCGAAAAAGGAATTAATCTGTACAAATGTCCTTTAGACAATGCTATCCTACTATTGATGAGTAGGTAGCACCATTGTTGGAGTTTAAGGGTCAATTCGATTAAGGGATGTGTGGTCACTAAAGCAATGTTAGGACGCCTTAGCGGTAACCCTAATGTCTTAGATCATTTTTCCGAGGCAACCGTTTCGAGGCAACTATGATCTTTGGACAAGAGGGCGACCTCTAAAACTTCTTATACTCAATGACCACGTTCGAAGGCAACCAAGTGAGGTGTACCCTAAGAGTGGCATGTGCGAGTGTGTTATTTTTCAGTTATTTATCTTTATACATGTCATGGGTGAGCTATTGTGGATTTTAGGTTAAAGATTAATCTTGTCATGCATTGCCTATTTATCAAACATTTAGCAGTCAATATTGTGCGTAAATTAAATTGCGGGAAGGTAAATCTAAGCTATTACAAGGCGTCGGGTATTTACATCGCCAAAAACAACCCTTTAATTTTAAATTGCGGAAAGTAAATAAAAGCGATAAATAAATAAAGTCCTAATTTAAAAAACTATTACATTCCCGAAGCAGTTACAATATTGGATAAAAAATAATATGCGTGCGAGAAATTTAAATCAGAGCATTTTTAGGGTTTTGACCCTTTTATTAAATAAAGCATATTTTTTGTTATTTTGAATTAAAATGGAAATTATGTCTAAGTTAATCAATTAATTAATTAATTAAATGAAAATATTTTTTGGGTTTTTTATAATTATGGAAATAAATTAAAATGATTAAAAGTTATTAAAACCTAATATTCTAATTAATTTTAAATTATTGCAAAAAATATTGAAATTATACCTAATTAACAAAACTAAATTGATTAAATTATTTATTTACAAAAAATAAAGAAATAGTGAAATTACTAAAAATATTATTTTTATTTGGGTTTTCTGATTTTTATGAAAAAAAGGTTAATTGGTTAATTAATTAATAATAAAATAAATAATTAGAACAAAATAAATAAATGAAAATATGAAGGGAAAAAGAAATAACCCAGGGGGGTGTTGGGCTTAATTTGGGTGTGAAATCACCAATTCTTGGCCCATTAACGCTCCAGCCTGTTTTGACCTTTGTGATTCCATAGGCGCATGTTGACTTTAGTCCATGGTGGATCTGCAATTCTGGCCTTTGGATCTGGCTTGAAGGCCACTTGGCATTTGATGGGATGAGGAACATGATGGTCCACGCTTGCTGAGTCCCATGCAATTGCCTGGAAAAAAATTGTTCAAAGGTTTTGGGGGACCTGGGATTCGAACCCAGGTCCCAAGGGGTTTTGCCACGCCTCTCTCACCAACTCAACTATGTTGCATTATTTTTAATGGGATACGCAATAAACATAATATGTGAAAACAATTAACTATGCTGAAATATAAAAAAAACGCGCTAAAAACATTTAAACTGGCCAATGAAGCCCAGCCACGTTATCATCTTCTCCAAATATCCCTGGTTATTTACCTGCGGATTTTTATCCGCAGGAAAGTTCGTGGGATATTTCAAAAATCCTTCTTAGGCCATGTAAACGCAAGCTAAGGCCATCATCGTGTTCGTCTTGCTTCCCTGAACACGACTATAGCCATGAATTGTCTTGATTTTGCCTGTACACAAAATGCCTAAAAACAAAGCAAGGAAACCCTAGGTTCGGGTATCACATTAAAAGCCATGAAAATAAAATTAAATGATGTAGAAAGCTTCGAAATCAAACATGGATCAAGAATATGTTAATATTTGGTCAAAAAGATGCAAGAATGAGGAGTTATATTTTCGTGTGCAGAGGCATATTCAAGAACACTTACAGCGCGTTACAGGTGGTCTTAAGGTCCGGTTTTGGTTGCTATAGCTTCAGGAGGTTGCTGGCAAGAGAGTTGCGTGAAGCTTTTTCCTTGGAAACGCCTCCAAACAAGAATTCGATCTCTCACTTTTCACACTTTTTTTCAATTATGAGTTGGCCGTTTTTGCAGTCCTTTCAACCTGTTCTTGATTTTTTTGGGCTTGTGTGTACATAAAGGAATGAATTAGGTTAATCATTTGGGCTTGAATCCATAGGAATTGAATATTGGAGATTTGATTTTGATCACCATTATCAAGTTTCCAAATATATGCCAAAACTGATTTTTTATGCATGAAAAGCCTTGATACGAATTTGATTTGATGAATCATGGTAATTGAAAGCTGCAATGACCACAAGAATCTCCTTACATCAATTTTTAGATTTTATTTGATTTAATATTGATTTAAAATGAATTAAATCAATAAAAATTAAATAAAATAAAAAAATAAATGAATGGACATTAAATTAAAGATGAGACACGTGTGTGGCATGACAAGACCATATAAAGTGGAAAAAAGTGAGCCCTTTTGTCAAAAATTGGAATTTTGAGGATAGTTGACTTTTGGCCATTTTGGAAAAATGCTCAACTTCAACAATGCACAACTTCTTCAATTTTGAACTTTTGGAGGTGTTCTTGGACTTTTTAGAAACCTTGAGATGTCCTCTAACCAAAATTT